TCCCTTACAAAGCCTCTATGGAACTAGATTAAATCAAGTACTTTTGCAGGGGGGAAATATTTTAGCACTTGCCAACAATTCTTTTCATCCCACAAATACTAATAGAAAAAAAATCACATTCAACAGGCAGCATATAACTCATGGCAGAAAAATGTAGGCCACTGCACTCCCATGAACATGTGCAGAGTGCGTGTTTCTCAACACACCTGCTTCCAGTGTGAAAAGATAGCAGGAAGGTTGCTACGCTGCAGTGCCTGACCTGAAGTTGGCAGCTTGGAAGATTTTGAAATCTTCCAGTTCAGACTAACTCAGGTCGTAGGCTCAGGGAAAACCAACACATTCTTTCAAGCGTAATAAACTTAAGAACAGCAAAATCAGAGTAAGTGAGCACAGCTAGGTTACAGAATTATTTAATATTCCGTCTCCTTCACATGTGGGTTCGGGGGCCTCACAGATTCACCCTACAAACAGGATGACAGCAACCACGCAACACCGATTCAGATCAACTTTCAATCAGTGTCATGTTTTAGCCTAATAGTATCCGAGGCATCCCATTTTCACATTTAACCTGTTACTGATCAGATGAGTGGTACATACCGTGGCACTTTCAACACACTCACAAAATAATTTCAACAAGCTGCAACTTACCAGCAAATAATTATTTTCTTCTACATAAACAGGTTATTCAAAGATTTTTCAACTGCTAGCAGGCGATAATATTACCAGATATTGAACAAGATGTTTTTGCAATGAGAGGCCTTCGGTAACAGACAACCAGGTCAAGACAAACACAGCTGCAACATCTCTCAATTTAACTGCATCACATAGATAACTCTGGGCTAACAGCAAAGCTTTCAGACATCACATACCATCAAGGCCACAGCGCTTTGTTAGCCACTGAAAAAAGGGATGCATGGCCTCATCTGGGAGGCAGCTAACACACAACTCGCCTACTGCAATACTTATGCTGAGAAAAAAAAAAATCAACAACCGAAGAACAGACTAGCTCGTGATCTCCTCTGGGAAGGTGCAGGGTGTTCATCTAGAACAGCAAGCGCCTCTGTACAGGTCACTGAAGACCGCACAAAATGCAGACTTGCTGCCACACTGATTCACAAGTGAGCTGTGAGCGACGGTAAGCCATTTAAATTCCATTAGAGCGATCGCTTGAAAGGTCTTAGGGTCCAGCTTAGCTTCTTCAGAAGTTTCTCAGTGAAATGAGAAAAGCGAGTCTGGGCAACAGAAGGAGATTTCTCCCACCTGGCCTGTAACATTGGAAAAAATAAAGTCAGGGTCTTTAAGCGCCACTTGGGCTGCGGTCCTGGTATTTAGCTGTATGACACCTTGTTAAGGTGCATTTACTAAGCACGAGTAAAGTGCAACCTGTTCAGAGATAGAATAAACACCTGTGACAGCCGTGGAAGGAGAGATGCGATGAACAGTCACAAAATCTGCACTGTTAGCAGGAGCTTCTTGTTTCTGGAGCCACTTTCCACAAACTGAGAAGCGTGCAAATATTTGGAATATCCTGTACTGAAGACGAGGGTGTTGATTTGTGCAGGTCTGGGTGCCTTCACTGAAAGTTTGCATTTTGGCACTGTGTAAGCTCAGAGATTCTTTTGGGGAGCACTTCACTCCCCCCCTCTCCCTCCCTCCTAGGAGGGAATGCAAAGCTCCCCCTGTGCCAAGGTTTCTACTCATTAGGCGAACGCACAACGAAGGCCTCGTTTAAAAAACTAATTAACCTTAGCTCACACCCACCCGCTGCAAAGTG